ATCCATCAAATAATAAAACCTCGAGAGCTGAGACATTTAGCCTGGAGATAAAGTGATATATTAACTTCTTGATCAAATGCCAGAGCTTACAGATGAAATGAAACAGACATCAATAATTACAGCTTGTACTGTCGTTGGTTTCTAAAGCTCCAGGTTCAATGAACAAGTAATAACTGGACAGACACACCCTTCAGGAATGAGAGGTGGGAAAGGATTACCTCATTCCATGCCTGTAACTAAGCAAGCCCCTCACAGCAATTTAACAAGAGGTGGCCCAAAACTCAGGAGGTGGCAGGTAGCAATTGCTCAGGTGGCACCATACACAGGCAGAAAACCTGGCACAGGAGCATTTATTAGGAGGGGAAGCACTGCCCAACCCTTCCCTTTCTTTCCTGAATATTATTATCCTAAGAAGTCTGATCTGAATGTAAAAGACACATACTAAACACCCAATGTTTGAAAATGCCTCACATGGAAAATTTTATTGCTTTTTCTTGAATTTAAAATGGGATTACTAATATCAGTAATATATAATTATGTCTCAGTTAATTCTTAATTTTACAAGCAGATCTGAAAACATAAGGTAATCTGTGGCATTTCATAAACTGTCCCACCAGAGCTGGGTTCCAAAGATCAGATTCACCAAAGCCAGAGGCAAGAAGCTACTCAGAGGGCACTGCTGTGGTTGAAGACCCTGGCGACAGTAACAACCACCCGCAGAACATTCACCAGTGAGCAGACGCAAAGGACAGATGCCACAGAGGCAACTACTTCATCCCAACCCCAGAGCAAAGAGCAATGATTCCCAAGTTTCTTTATGGCCACCACAATCGGCCACAGTCGTTCTTCACTGAGGTCAAGGGTCCCTTTCCCAGTCAGTCTGCTGAGTATGTGAGAGGTGAGGAAATTTTCCTTTCAAGGAGGGCAGTATGGAGAAGAAACAAAACAAATACACATGCAAGACTGGACCTCTGCATATTTATCAAAGCCTACAGAGTACTCAATCGCCAAGGTTTACTTTAGTATCTTATGGTAAAGAACATATATGCTCAAGGCTCAGTGAAAATGTTCTAGAAGATGGAGGTCAAACAGGGGATGGGAAGGAACGCTGTACATGCTATCTTCTAGACTTGAAGGCCAGTGTGCATATGAACCCACGAGGCATGCACAGGATCAAGCCAGTTAACATTCCAACACAGATGGGAAGAATTCATGAAGTCCCACGCCTAGCTGAAGAGCTATTGGCAGGTATTGGCTGTTGGATGAGGACATTTTTTGGAGTAGCGAACTTTGTAGGTTTCCCCAGCTCTGGTGGAACTAATCACACCCACATGTATGCAGGCAGCACTAATAAGACTCAGTAGGTTATCGTCATCATCATCATCATCATCATTACATTCAATTACATTTACACCTTTACATTACGTAAAGGTGAGGGGACACGTTGGCGAATGAGAGGGGAAGAGTTGGGGTGGATGTGATCAAGATAGGTTTTATATATATCTTGTCAAAGAACAAAAATATTCTTTAAAGGTACACATACACATTAATTTAAACGTCTCAATACGTCACTGAAACTTAAGAGCACACTGAGCTTGTTAGCATAAGGTTAAAGTTTGAAAATAAAGACATGTTCTGATTAATTCATAGTAAACATACATCAAGTGACCTGAGGAGATGGCTCAGTGCTGCAAGTTAGAGGCCTGGAGTTCAAATCCCGAGAATGCATGTAAAAGTCAGACAGCCATGATAGCCTCTGTAATCCTAGAACTCATAAAGTAGACAAAGGTCAAGCTGACTAGCTGAGCTGAATACACGCGTGCACACACACATACACACAAATGCACACCACACACATATATACACAGTGAGTGGGGAAAAGCCATAAAATATGCCGCCCTGAGTTCAGAAAGCTCCCAGCTATACAGTGTCCTTCAAGGTCTATGACCAGGTTAGAAGGCACTGATGCCACAAATCTACATTTGCTTTTGGAAAAAGATGTTCATATGTACATTGTCTCAATACTGCTATTTATTTTATAAAAGTTAGAGCTAAGACTCTAGTAGAGTGTAAATTTAAGCCAATGAATAAACAGCTTTAAAAAATATTAAATTGATATGCAAAGTGTTTTTGCCCCCCGCCAAAAACTAAAAATAAAAGCAAATTTTGCCAACACACACAAAAAAAACTTGCACTGCATCTGAATTTGATGACCACATTTCAAAATGGGACTGGATATAACATCAATTTATTTTCCCAAACTTTATTATTGATTAAAAAAACACAACAAAAAATTACCATCTGATTGAAAACTCAGCCTTGTATAATGTATTTAGTTATTAAGATAGATATTTCCAAATAGATAACATTAATCTTTCCCTAACAAAATCATGGGGAGATGACTTGGTGGATAACAGAACTTGTTGAACAGCAGGAGGACCTGAGATTGGATCCCCAAAACTCATGTAAAAAACAAGGATGGCCGCAGACAGGTCTGTAACCCCAGAGCCAGGGCTGCAGAGACAAGGACAAACCTTGATGGGCTCCTGTCTCACTCCAGGCTGGATGAGGTCCCAACTGAAACAAGGGTGGGTGTTGCACTAGCTAGCACACACCACCCACACCCACCCACCCACGACACACTCCCCCCACGCATAACACACACACACGGAAGATTCAACTTTCTCACTGACTGTTAATAACCCAAGTTACTAAAGGACTTCAAAGATAGTTTAGACAAAAGGTGTAAGCCATATGAGATTTGAAGTGTGAGGTTTACAGCTGTAACCAAATGTTCCAATGACATTCTATCTCTGTCTGAGGTCTGTCCCTCCTTTATCTTCCTGCCCCAAAATACAGCGCTTGAGATTTATGATCAGTTGCAAAAATCAGAGTTTAACTGCTGATTTACAGTCTTGGCTGAGGTATTTAACTGTCATCAGAACTAATTATAGCCAGCTTGAGATTACATATTCAAACTCTCCTTTTGGTGAAAGAAATAGAATGTTCTGCTGAAATCAGAAACATCCCGAGGGCTCCTAAACAAGAATGCACTACCAACTTCACTTCTCAAAACCAGTGCAGTAAAAGCTGAAAATTACTGTTCCTCAGTAAGTTGTTCTGACCTGAAGTACTTAGACAATAAATCATGTTACATTAATGCCATACCAATGGTCTAAAACATATTAATCTCACTCAGCAGGAACTGACAATCACATTACTAATCTAATTCAAGCATTCTGGAGGTAGTAAATGAACAAGTTGAAGCTTCAGGAACCATAGTTATTACTGATCCACAAAGAACCCTTATTTCAGTGTAGCCCTGACTACATACATGCCTTGGGTAACACCGATACTCTAGGAATAATGCTGCCATTTTATTATTCTAAGGAATAAGTTAAATTAAAGCTCACCCCAAATAAAACTAATTCCAAATAAGAGATGAGCAGATACAGCAAAAGCACTGTGCTGCTTTCTCACCCAACCCCTCCTTCCCACCCTCTACCCACAGCAGTGCACCCACAGTCCACGTCCACACAAGCATGGAACTGAGTGCTCTTCTCTGACCACCTTCCCCCAGTTAAGCTCCAGCTGTAAGAGCAAAGGATCCGAGCATCCACATGGTATCTCACGACTATCTACATATCCCAGGGGATATGATGCCTCTTTTTGGCCTCCACAGGTATCAGACAAGCACACGGTACAGAGACATACATGCAGGCAGAACACGCCATACATATAAAAGGGGAATAAATCTTGAAAAGCAGAGGCAAACTGCTGGCACTGGGGTGGGTGAGCAGGGCCTCGCTGATTAGACAGAGGAGTCGGAGGCTCCACGATCTGATCCTGACTAAAAACTCCACCAAGGTCTGAGAGGGGGAAAAGTGCTGGCAAAAGTACTAGCCTTAGTGAACGTAACAACAAAAAAAACCAAGGTGGATGTCCAAGGAGAACGCATGTTCTGAGGTCCTTACATAAGAAACCAGCCACATGAGGAACTTTGGGGGAAACATTCTTGCATTGTGAAGCATACATTCACTCAGAGTACACAGTACTCAGGAACATTTATAAATGGACACCTTTCAAAGGTATGACAAGTCAGTGGATATCCAATCTCCTAGATCTCAGTTCTCAACTAAATGGAAACAAGATTTGACATTTGGTGTTTTTTTTTTTTTATTATTATTATTGTTTAGACAGGGTTTCTTTGTGTACCCTTGGCAGTCCTGGAACTCACTCTGTAGACCAGGCTGGCCTCAAACTCACAGAGATCCACCTGCCTCTGCCTCCTGAGCACTGGGATTAAAAGTGTGTGCCACCACCACCCAGCAACATCTGGCCTCTTAATGAGCAACAAATTATTCACTAATTCTTTATATAAAGAAAACTTACATATCGCCATAAGTTAATGAAGTTGTTACTGCTTTAAATCTAAAAATAATATAACTAAAATCATGACTAATTTTTTACAGTGTCCACATTTAGTCTTGCCAGTTATCAAATGACTGATTTCCATTAGGACTGTAAAACACATGCCTAAGGACAATGACTCCCAGGTATTAGTTCTCTCTTTAGCCTCATTAACTCATTTCATCTTTCAAGTGGCAGAGGAAGAGGTAACAACAAATGAGCTGTTAGACATCCAGAGTTGTGATATCCTGGGTTACAACCCAGGATACAACCTGTCTAGCACAATCGGACCATTTCCTTTTCAAACAACAATCACAATTTAAAGAATGACATGGTTGAGAAATAGTTAGAAAGATATTTTCTAGGCAAAGCTGAAATCATTCTCCAGAGATGTTATGTCCACTTTTTACTGGAGTGAGAGGTCCTTCTGTCTATGTGTTGCTTTTACCATTTTACTTTAATTATGCCCACTGACATTACACAAAAATTAATCAATTGCTTTTACTATGTGACTACAAAATATGAATTCTACTGCCTCCATAAAGAATCAATAATTATTCTTATAACACTGAAGTAATTAAAGACACTGGTAAAGTCATTAACAATTGAGAATTTTTATATTTATGACTAATCTATTATAAACAAAAGCCAATATGAAAAACACAATTCTAGAAAAAGTACAGTCATGTTAAGAATAGATAAGGAAGTACAAGGACCTCATAGGCTATGCTAGACCTAACAGAAGAAACACAAAATTGATTTTAAACTGTAGGTTTATACAAATAAATAAAACTCTTCCCATCTTGTACATACGCTTAGAATTTCTTACACAAATATAAAAATGCTCATTTCCTTTACAAACTTTCTAGAAAAAAGAATTTATAATCAGCTCCCAAGTTTTAGGTTTATTTTTTTCTACCCTTATCAATTTTCTGACATTTTAAACCTAAACAGGAAAATCTTTTTGGTAAATGAAGCAGGCCAGTCAGTCTCTCAATGAACATCCTAAAGAACTCTGCGAGGCTACATATATCCCATGTTGCTTTTAGTTTCCCATCTCTTCTTTGCTTCAAACCTAAAACGAGGAGCATAAAAATCTCAATTTACTTCTAAAATAAAATAACTTGTTTGGTAAGTGACCAAAGCACTGCAATTTCACAACTACCACAGGTTGAGGAGACGCCTCCCTCTTATAACCCCATAGGCTGAGGAGATCCTGCCCCATTATAACCCCACAGGCTGAGGAGATGCCTCCCAGTAATAACCCCACACTCATTCTACTGGCGCATACAACAAACTGGGTTCAATGGATAAGCAGACTTTCGGCAATTCCTACCAAGTAAATAGAATCGTGACTTTTTTTTCTTCAATTTTTAAACATTATTATTATGTTGCATGTCTGAGTGTTCTGCCTGCATGTATGTCTGTGTACCAAATGCATGCCTGGTCCCCAGAAACCAGAAGAGGGCATCAAATCCCTTGAATTGCACAGTTGTTGAGTCACCATGTGTGTGCTTGGAATTGAACCCTAGTCTTCCTAACAGCTGAACCATCTGATCCACCCAGGACAAAGTGAACTTACCCCCACGCCAGTTTCTTCTTCTTTCGAGCAGCCTGTGAGTTTTCAGCCTCCTTTTTGGCTTTAACAAACTTGTGGCAGGCAATTGCTTTGGCAATTTTTACACCAAGCTAAGAATTATGGAAGAAAAAAGGGGGGAAAAAATGTAAAAAGAAATATCCTAACTAATGTAGGAATTACAATAGTACAAAAACTTGGGCACACATAGTTCAAGAGCTGTGACTGGAAAGAAGAAATGCTACACCTGGGCCCCTGACAAAGCATAACCAATACACAGATATGGCTTCTACTGCCCTTCACCACTCAAGTCCTCTACCCCAGTTGCACCATCCATCCCCTGGATGAAATCCTTCCCAAACTCAGACCCTCTGAGGGTCCACAAAGGTAGTAATGAGGCCCTTCAAGCTATCCTGCCATTCTGTAGGCTGAACAGGAATTTTCCCTGATAAGGCTGCAAACAGACTGACAGAGACATCAACTTTCTTTGCTCTGGGCTAGAATTACAGCAACTCAGTATGGTCACACCATTATCTCATGCTGATCAGAAGCTCTGATTGGCAGCCACAGATGGGATTAATGAAACATGGGGAAGCTAATTACTACTTCATAAATGCACTCTGCATGATGGGCAACAGCTTTTAAGTCTCTGAGAGAGAAAAGAATATAAGGGGAGTCAGAAAGTAAAGAAGCTGAACTCCAGGACCTAGCTGTGTCCTGGGCAGCAGCCCTGTTCGTGCTTCCCTCACTGCTAACTGCTGGCCCTAAAAGATTCATTTAACGTGAATCCCAATCCGGATTCTTCTCTAGCTCAGCCTGTTAAGTTCTTGCCTCTGTAATTCTCTAGCACTTGCTACATTGCAAAGTATTTCCCAGGAAGCATCTCCTGAGCAGCAATGCCAGAATGCAACTTTCAGGGGGTATGTAAACTATGCATCCATATGCACGACAGATCCATGAAGAATCAAGGTGAGGGCAGGTGGGATGGTGGGATACACCTGGAATCCCAGGCAAAGGGACGCTGCCCAGGGAAGCAAAGCTGTGCTGCAGTAATCAACACCAGGCCGCTCAGGCAGGGCTGCATAGCTAGACTCTGCCTCAAAAACAAAGGAAGCTTTAAATCAATGAAGGCTTTCGATCTTCCTGATGTTTCTTGGCATTCCTATTCCTTCATTCAACTAAGCACATATTAGGAGACAGGCAGACTTGCGGAGAAGAAACACAGGAAGCCATTCAAATTAGCCTATCAAAATCTGAGTTTTAGAGAATTGCCTGGCTGGGAGTCTAGTAAGGCATGGTTGGAAGTGAAGAGTTCACGCGCAAGAAGTAAACTTAGACAGATGAAGTCTGTAATGCTTGACACATCTCTCAGATGTTCTTGGGGAAAACAGAATATCTGTATTTCTCTGCTGATTCCATTCCATTTAATACAAACTAAATAAAAGAATGATGCATGATACAGTTTACCAAGTCCCCCAGGTCAAAGTCCAATTTACCTCTCAGCTACTTTTTATTATATTTAAACTCATTCCTCTCCCTTGGGTAAGAAACAATACAATGTGAATTATATTTGCTATCCACCATTACCACGAGTGAAAGTTGTTTTCCCAAACTGTTGTAATGTCAAATTACAGTTCTATATTTTTAACTTACTAAAGTTTCTCCTCTGAGTTCCCCAGATATAAGACAGACAAACCAAGGAGCACCATGGACAGACTCTCTACCCTACCACAGCCAAATAGAAATGCTTCCAGAATTGCTGCAAAGCTAAAAATAAAACCAAACCTAGAACCACCAGCTTCATGGCAAAGTTACAGAGGCCACTATCAAAACACAGTATAAACTTTTAAGAATTCTTAAACTGCAGAGTGGGCTCCATCACTTTGTGAACTAAATAAACTACCAGGTTTATAGGAGCACTTTCAGACAATGTTCCTATAAGGACGTAGTATCTACCTGCTTTAGACCATAGCCCAGGTTAAATATAATGTTCTTCAATTAAAACAAGGTTTTTTTACAGAAAAAAATTACGATTTGTAATGATGAAAATCCACAGTAGTTTTTGACTTTTGAATGCTTAAGTGAATATGTTTCACTTATTTCTGTGGAGAAAGAAATGGAACAAGAATATCTGGAAATACAAAAAGATAACAAGGCCTTCCATGAAGAGGTAGTTGAGAAAAAAATGTATTTTTCAGTGGAGATGTCAAACCCGAGTTTCAGAATATAAAAGGATACTGTGCTGTATTTCTACGACAAACAAGACAGGCAGACAGGAATCACCCTTTCACCTCTATACAAGAAAAATGCATCTTCCTGCCCAATGTAAACATCCCAAAAGCTTGGTCAATGGCTTTTATATTAAATAAAAAAAGTGAATTTAAAAAAAAAAAAACAGTTCGGGGTCATCAGATAACTATAGTAACACAATGAAAGAAGACATTTTTAATGAATAAAAATACATACAGGATTTCTTGTATGTGTAGCCAAAGTATCAGCATTTTCCATATAGAACATCCAATATTTTGCTGCATTTTAATTAAGGTGTCTAAACATTATCACAAAGAACTGCAAATTGGTCGGAGCATGCGGTAAGGAAAATTAAGCTCTAAAGGCTTTTTATCACCGTATTTCAGGAACCAAGGGTGTAAAATGTTCTAATTTGGGATATATTAAAAGCCATAAAAGGTCTTTCAAAAAGATTAATGGTACTTTGCTTGGATTTAAGATAAGGGCTTTAGCTGGTTGGAAAAGCAGGGCCCTGGCTGGACCCTTGAGGCATTCATCTTTACAGCCACTTGGAAGATTTGTAAAAGCGCCTGCACAACCTCAAGCAAATGCACCGCGACATTTTTTTAATTCCTTTCAATTTTACAGGTTCAGTGTGTGTAAACCATATTGGGTCGTAAAACAGATATGATGGCACATCCTTATAAACACACTGCAGGTTTCAAAAAAAAAAAAACCTTCAAAATAAAGTTAGTTCCTCTTACAAATGTTCTCATAAAGTTTCCTGATAATCTTTTGAAGCATCTGATTCCAACGGCTTAATCTAGCACTGCGACGAACTGCTTATCCGTTTTATAAAATATTTTAGTCATCTCAAAATTACTAGCTTGTAACAGAGTTATGAAGTTTTCCTCCCTTTTGAACACTTTCAAGGCACTTATTTAAAAATACCAATTATCATACTTTAACTTTTTATAGAATAATAGGTCTCTATGAAAAATATTTATGCCGTTCTCTTTTGTTCTTTAATTAAATGAAAACAGATGTTTTCTGAAGTAAAGCGGAACCATTACTGGAGTACTTAAAGTGTTAAGGTCTTTAATTTTTATATCAGTTTGGCCGACAATTCCTGATTGTCTTTACTCAAGCTCAACATTAATGTCAAGCAAGTTACCTAGGAGACGAAAGAGATCAAAGAGACAAAAAAACCCTCCAATGTCTGATTAATCAAGCCTGCAAACAGCTTATTTCTTTTAGCCTGCATGCAAGTATGAAAATGAGATTCTGGGAGCCGAACATTGTGCAGATTTGTTCATTCTTATCAGAACAAAGCCAGCGGCAGCTTATTTCATGGATCATTGGCACTGTCATCAGCGCTACACAGAACGGGTGACAGCTCCTCATTTTGAAGCTTGAACAAAATTAGCAAAAAGTCGGCACAAATTAGCCTCTCATCTTTTTAGTAATATGACATTATTCATTTACTTTTTATCCAATTTTTAATTTTTTCCTTGTCAGCTATCCCTTTCTAGTGTCTCTCACATGCCATCGTAAAATGCCTTCTGAGAAACAAGCACAGAAACAGTCAAAGTTGAAGTAACACACAAAGTTCAAGAGCAAAGAACAAGCATTTCCAATGGTCAGTTCTGTTGTGTTTTAAAATTTAAGTTTCAAAACTTTGCAATAATTGATTTTTAAAAACAACTCAGGATGCCACTGTATTTCAAGGATATAACCAGGCTAATGGGTTTCAGGCAAACCCCAGCCTAAGGTGGCATCCGCCACAGTAAATGTTACACGGGTCTTTCTCTCCATGGTTACACCTGGGATGCCAGTGTTCTGACAACAGCCTAAGCTATGACACAGCTCATCGTTAACTGAATTTTCAATCAAGATCTTTTCTTTGTATCACTGGCATCTTGTTTCAATGTTAACTTGAAGTGTGTGCATACACAGGCTGACATGTTTGTCTATGTTTGTGTATCACATTAGTGTCTAGATGTACAACCAGATACATACCTATATCTCCTGCCAGCTTACTTCAATGCATAACCAGCAACACTGATTTAAACACACTAGGAAGACAGATGCACATATACACATATAATACGATCCATACACTCTGATTTAATCGCGAAATAGTTTACAGAATGCCCATTTTTAATAACTTCAAATTATACCTAGATTACAATATTCCAAAGCAGAAGAAAAAGACATTACATTGCTGAAATTACTCCTGGATATTGACATTTATATTCAAACAATTTATTCCATTCATAAAGGAGAAAAAGCATTAAAAAATTAACCATAAGCTGTTAGATGCTTTACACAGCCCCATAAGAAAGACAGTTTTTTGAAAGAACTGTAGTACTGTTTTCAGCAATTTCTTTATCTCTGTTCTTCTAAGTAAGAAAGCCTATTAACAAGCTTTGAACTTAAAATCACATTTACAATAATGTGCCATCAACAGTTTTATAAGCTAATTAGAAAAAGATTAATTAATGACTGGCTGCTAATAAAATGGCAATCATGAAGAAAGAAACCAAGGGTGCTAAGCTTCAACTACCACCAATTAAGAGCTAATTACAAACAAATTATATATGTGTTTTGCTGTGGGCTTTAATTTACTAAAATGGTTTTAATTAAAAGAGAAAACATGCTGATTAATTGAACTGCAGAAAAAAATCTACAGTATAAACTGTGCTTTGTCTGTCTCTTTAATTAGACTTGTAACATCTGAAATCTTTTTTTAAGGTTAGTTAAAAGCACAGATAAACATAATTAAGACAGCGCATAAGGAATGCCATTCAAGGTGAGTACCCGGCCAGACCCCAGAGGTTAAAAGAAACCTTCACAATGCAATGAGATTCGAATGAGCACACCT